AAAGGAAAGGGGCTCGTTGGCTTGTTCATAATTCATCCTTTCTTTTTTTTTTTGTTAATTGTTATTTTTGATATTTATGTTTTTGTTCTTGTCTTTTATAAAGAAACACAAGTATATCTACGGTTGTCTCTTGAAGGGGAAGTGTATAGCATATTATGAACACTTGACTTACAGTACAACAACAAAGTAGGGTATGAAGTGCCAACCAGAACATATCCAGAAACCAGTTCAAGTTATTACCTTTCATCATTCATGTCCCGCAGACCGGCACTCCCTCCAGTCATATTACATGCAAACTACATTTCAGATTTTCCTTCCTCGGTTTTGATTAGACCAGTAAAGCAATCCATGTTTGTCTTTGTCTGCGAGAAGCTAGTTTTAGTCATACTTAAGAATGTGTTTATATTGTTGGAGGTTATCCTGTCATGAAATCATAGGTAGATATATTAATGCCAAGAAAATGTCTTTCCAGAAAAATAATTTGTGGCTGCAAACTGGTTTACTCTCTCATTTAGCAGTGTGTATCCATGAGACAATCTCCAAAGTAAAGAAAGGCTCTGCGTTCACACTGAGATTTGTATTTAATGACAAGAGGCGGGATTGACTTGGCTAAGAACTGGAAGATATAGTGTGAATACATAGCAACTTAAAGGTGGGGTAGGTAATTCACTTCAAAAACACTTTTTGTTATATTCCATGGAATGCTCTTAACATCCCGATAGCAATGAATATATGAAATGCTTTGACAATAAATACATAAAAAAATGTCATCTGTGGAAGCCGTGGCGCTGTAAAAAGCACGACCAATCATCTGAGCCGGCCCGGCTAAAATAACTGGATGGCCTACCTGCCTGTCAGCCTTCCATCTCGTGCCCTCATTGGTTCTGTGCGCGCTCGTGTGTGTTGGAGGAGGGGCTCTGTAAGGAAGTCTGAAGGAAGGGGCAGATTTTTTCCGGGTTGTGTATTTTCAAATTCTAGCTCACTCGAGCTGGTTTCTCCATTCTTACCTACCCTACCTTTAAGAGACTTATCTGCAGGCAGCGTTTTATAACCATTATGTGTATATTATCAATGCGCGCTCATTTATTACAGCAATTGGAGCTCTTCTGAATATTTTCTCAGTGGACGGGTCAACACTTCAATTCTTACCACGTTGGCATCAGTGTGCAAAGGGATGGGCTGTATACTTTAGTTTTTTTGGAACGTGTCCATTTGGAAAGATGGCTTCCTCTCCCACTTCTTTGTTCTGTGTTTTTCTCCCCTCACACCCAGTAAGACAAACATGGAGAATTTCAACCACATTTTGTATTTATCATAGGAATATGCTTCCTATTATAAACATCATTTTGCTTCTGAGGCCAGCTTCAGGTTTGATCAGCAGTTTTCCAAAAGCTCTGCATCGCCTGGGTCTCCCTGTGCTTGCATGACATGGAAATATATATTCTTTGGTTGTGCATGTAGATCCATTTTTTTTTGGAAATAATCCTCTTGTTTACACATGGATGGTGATGTTAATATATTTAAGAATGTAATGGTATACAATATGGATGTTGCCAAACGTTGGTAAATGTACACATACCATGAGAGGTAATCCAAATGAACTGAACTACATGTTTTGTATTTAACCGGGTCAGCCAGATGCTTCTATTCCAGTAAAGGTTGCATATCTGATCCTGTCTCAAACTGCCACACACTGTACTCAGCTTAAAGGGGATATTTTAATGTTTTTCTTTCTTTTGTATATAAGTATTTGTTAAATGCAGTTCTGGCTCTCTGTTCTCTGTATAGTTCAGACCGCGCTTTAGGTTGTAAGTGCTATTTTTCTCAAAGGGGCTCGGTTTCTTTTTAGTTTGTGTGGGGATATCTGAAGTTTTTCCTTTTTTCTGCATGCTGCATCTTATGCTGTGGGACTGTTGGAAACTTGATACTGTATGAAATTAAATACATTTAAATAAACTTTGAAATGTTGAAAGTTTTAGATTTTTCCTTTGGGATGTTATTTAGACCCTCCAGAAAAACGCGATTCTGCGATCGCAGAATTTACCGCATAATCAGCAAAATGGCGCAGATTTCTAAAAGGCCGCATATTTATCAAAAGGCCGCATAATCCCCGCATTTTTCCACACAAAATTGAGAAAAAAAAAAGTTAACTCGTCTTGACGTGACGTCATCAGCTCGCGCATCACAGAATGTAAACAACACTGTTTAGATAGATAGAGAAAACACCAAGATGAAAATATCTAATCCATCTCATTTACCGACGAACATTTCTACTAAAGACCGGGCAAAAAGTGGGGGGAAACTATTCTGCACCCCGTGCAACTATGTGTTGGAGCATAAGAGAAAATCGACGGTGACGACCCACTTTGATTCATTCAAACATTCGAAAATGCTTTCTGCTGCTGCGGACAAGAAAGCCAAACAACTCACGTTCACGAGGCATCAACCTCCAAAACCCTTTCGAGGGCTACAAGAAACGAGGTGAGTAGCCTACAAGATTGAAGCTGCAGATAACGAACGAGTAAATGAAAACAGAATGAGGCGGAAAAGTGTGTGTGTGTGTGTGTGCGTGCGTGAGAGAGATTAAAATAGCCCAATTGCTTTTACAATAAATAAACATTGAATGTGTTTAATTGAATAGTAAAGGGGTTTAACGTTGGTGGCAGGTTGTGTGAGAGAGAGAATAAATAAGACAGCCCAATATTAAAAAAAAATCGATAATTTTTTTCCGCATATTTCGCAACTTCCCGCAGTTTCACCGCATAAAATCACATAAAACCCCGCATGTTTAATCGCATAATCAAGGATTTTTACCCGCGTTTTTCTGGAGGGTCTAGTTATTGACCAGACTGCCTCATGCTCTAAAATATTCTATTTCAAGGATTCCTCAAATTCAAGGACCAAACATTGCATCGTGGGAGACACACTATTATTATTATTATAATAATGGTCATTACATTTCTCCAAGCAGGAAGTGTGTAAAACTGACGCAACTGCAGGAGAAATGCATGCAGACTTTGATTGTTGTATTTTAATCTGAAAAAAATCAAAATAACTTGAATTTTCACTTGTGTCACTTCAGTGACACAATCGTACTCATTCGTTAGTGGGGATTGACATTATTTATTTACACAAACAACCGATACTTGAACTCTGTATCCATTTATCCTCACGCTATGGTTCAACCGATCCAAAAAGGTTTCAGCTTAATTTACGGGGCCATAAAAGAGAAGCCTGAGGCGGCAGTCCAAGAAAAAAAGTCCCAGATCAACGAGGGAATCCCACCAGCCAATGGGGGACAGCAAAACACACACAGCAGCCAATCAGAATCTCTCTGCAGTCCGGCTAGCCACCACCCTGATGTTACCGTAGACCTTTGAAGGTGGGCTTCCTGTCGGGGCAAAAAGGGGTTTAAAGGTCACTTCTCAGCATTGCATGTGGGTACGAAGAGCTCTTAACCAAATACGACAAACCAAAATCTTGTACTGATTTTTCCACATATAAAACATCTTTCTTACCTAAGATTAAGTTACAAATCGCTGTCCGGGCCATCTTGATGTTCTGGAAAGACCCTAAAATGTGAACTTTTCTGTTGAGACACAGAAGAAGGAGTGTTCATCAGTTAAGAGAAACAAGAGGTAGACATTTCTCTGTATTTTGTACACCAACAAGTTCATTTGAAAGCTAAAAAAGTTCATATATAATGCATGCATTCAAGGAAAAAACCAGCTAAGAATTCACAATTGCCATTCAATTATTATATCAAAATGTTTTTTCGGCATTTAACAAAACCCCGGGGGAAAAACCCGGCAAAGGTGGCGTGTTGAATTAGAATTTTACAAATATATAATATAAAAAAATAGTTTAAAATACAATGGAATATTTGTCACAGTTACGGAAAGCAAGACATTTATTTTTTAAAATAACTTAAATTAAAGTGGACCTATCATGCTATATTGGGAAAATATATTGTAGGGCCATACCTATATAAAACATGTCTGTAAAGTTTTTGCTTAAAATACCAAACAGATCACCCACTGTAGCCATGCCTCATACCGCTCATACCCCTCTTTTGCAGCTCTGTT